CCTTTGACATCCATGGCTACAAGTAACAACTGGGAGGCGTGCAAGCAAGACAAAACGGATAAACGTTGCCGGTTTATTGACCTCATCTTCAACACTGGGAAACTTCAAGGCAAAAATCCGGACCGGGAAGTCAAACACGCCGATTGCTCGATCAATGTCGAAGAAACTGCAAAGGAATGCGTTTCCAGGTATACGGATAAAACAAAGTATCATAACTGTTACGGCACCGTCTTTAACTTTCCGGGCTACACTGCCCTTAAGGGCTCAAGCGGAGAATGGAACGACTTCGTCAAGAAGCTCGGAGATGCAGTCGCCAAGACCGCGCAGTCGAAAAAGACCGACGCGAACAAAAAGCTATTCGAACACTTTGACGCCACCCCGGAGAACATCCTTACTGCCCGTGCCGGAGATCATGGCAAGTATGCCATACCGTTGGCGGAAGCGGACTTTCAAGCCCACAATGTGGTAAAGAAGGACTTAAGTGTTGATCCGCTGAGTACGAAAGTTCCACCTGAGCACTAGTTTGCGGTAGATTAGCCGGAGACCAAACTCCGAGCCATCGGTAACGATGATCTCTACGGTAAGATATCGAGATATTATAACAGGATGTACGGCACAGGCGAAGTGAGTAAGGATCCGAAGAATGAGAAAAAGGCTAAAGATCATAACGATGTTATCAATTCGTACAAGCAGGTGCAGGCCAAGCTTTCCACATGTACTTAGGGGTAGTTAGGCCATGTACGAAGACGTTAGTGCTCAGTTTAAAGGAGTGTTTGTATTTATAACGGTATCGAATACGTTGATGGGGCTGGCAGCACCTGTTTATATCGCGGGAAAATAGTTGACTGATGGCAATACACAACTCTGAACCGCGGCAAAGAGAATGACTACCTATTCAATTCAGCATAATTGTTTGAGGCCAATGGGGTACAAACAAACACTTGACTCGAGAGCAGTACCATAGGTCGTGGTTTAGAATGGGACAACTAATGCAAAAAGCGAAAAGAGAGAGAAAGGGAGGGCGAAATGAAATGTGAGCTTCAATTCAAAGCCTAAAGTGCGATATCTAACCATCATCCAACTTCACAATTTCTTGGGGTTTGTGGGCACAA